GACATGTTTTAGACAATACTCATGTGTATGGGCAAAAAAAACTGAGGACTGTATTTGTGACGAATTGTATAACAGGTTATTTTAGTTTCTGTTCTGGAGAAAGTGTAAAGCATTCCAACAAAGGGTTTTAATGTAGATTTTTTTTTTTTTGCACCCATGCTGTTGATTGCTAAATGTAATAGTCTGATCATGACGCTGAATAAATGTGTCTTTTAAAAAAAATTTTTTTTTTTTTTGCACCCATGCTGTTGATTGCTAAATGTAATAGTCTGATCATGACACTGAATAAATGTGTCTTTTAAAAAAATAAAAAGAATTTAATTATGCTTTGACATTTTAAAAAATCTTGGCCTCACTGAATTTAAGCAGTAAATGCAATTGTAGGTATGTCAAACAACAACTTCAAAAACTTCTTGTATTGATTCAATAAACATGCATTGAGCACCTGCTATATGGTAGCCACTATGCTACATGCTGAAGTTACAAAGAGGAATACTACATAGTTTTTCCTCTGGAGAGACTAAACATCTCCTGGGACATGTAAATAATAGTGACAGAAAACCAAGCCCAGGGAAAAGATCTTTTAAGGTAATATTGGCATGAAGTGCTGAGAGAGCCCAGAGGAGAAAGTGACTATGTCTGGAGTGGTAGGGGAAGGTCAGAAAGACTCTCCAGGAGGACTTGATTTTTAAGCTGAGTCTTAGGGAATGAGAAGCCCTTGCATATACTTACCATTCATCTATATTTGAACCAAGTCAAGATGACGCAATGAGACCATTAATCACTCCATGAAACCTCTTGATATGGGAATAGGTTGGCCTGGTTTGAAAAGAACAGCATGGTCATTTCAGTACCAACAAGCCATGACATGAGAGTGAAACTTTAGCAGTTCCCAAGATATACAAGGAATGTACAAGACTTCAGTTTTTAATAACAAGCAAAACACACACACATACACACGCACACACACCCCACACACCAATAAAATAAAATCGAATCTCATAACAACCTATGAATCTCATAACAACCATTGGAAGAAAACTTGCAAAATCCATAAACATTTAACAAATGCCTTGTAATGCCCTCAATTTCCTTCACCTTTGGGAAAATTGAGAGAATCTCTACTAGAGGTGACCAGCTGGAGTCCTAGCTCCATCTGCCCTGGTAACCCCCCCCCCCCACTATTGTTCTAGTGAATGGGTCAGAGGTCCTGCCCAGTAAACAGGCCTTGGACAGATCCAGAGTGTTTCTTCTAATCTAAAATAATAGCTCTCAAAAAAATAAAGTAAAATTCCTAGCTCAGAGTCAATCAGATCCTGCCTTCAGTTTGCTCTGGTACAGACATTAGGCCATTTTGTCCTGGCAGTGTCCTGTGAAGTAGGATCATCTTTTCTTCCACCAATGGACAAGAGAAAGCAGAGGCAAGGACAGGTGAAATAACTTGTCCCATTTGGAGAGCTAGAAAGTGGCAGAGGTGAGCTTCTAAATCAGGTTTTTTGAATATCAACAAAAGATTCATTGGGAATTTCAGAAATGATGCAAAAATGAGGAATTATTATCTGTTTGCAAAAATATGGAAGAGTCGATATGCAGAGAAATGTGCCTAGTACAGGGAACCTGAAGAGTTAGATGAAGCAGTTGTGTCAAAGCATGACTGAGCTTGTAAGAAAAACATGTAGAGGAGAAAAACACAAGAAAGTGTGATTCCAGAGGTATAAACAATGACAGGTTGCCCTGATGGAATCTGCAGCTCTAGATTCTTAGTTTTAAAGGGCCAGATGGGCAGAGCATAGAAGACATAATTCAGAGCCTGATGAGAGTGAGATGTGATTACAGAAATTACTGCCAAAAAAAAAAAAAAATTCCCCAAGATGCCCTAAGTGTGTATCCTAAAATAAAACGTGTCTCACAGAGAAGGAGAACAGTATACTTGACCATTTTGTCCTTGGTTCATGGTGGAGTGGCTGGGGAGGGAATTGGAAGGAAGGGAGTATATGTCTCCTTTTGAAATTTCTAATCACAAGCCTGCCTGCACCCACATTTGGGGCTAAAATTCATTTATTTCTCTGGCCCCAAAGCCCCAAAGCAAAAATTTAGTTTAATGTGGTCCCTGGTTAGTAGTTTTCAAAATATGTTTAATTGGGGCTCTGGAATGAAAATATAGAGAGGAAGCAAACTTTGAAGAGAAAATAGATGAGAACTTTTCAAACCTGACTGGTGAAAAAGCATAATTGCTCAGTCTCAGGAGACTCAATAAATTTCAAGCAAGATCAATAAAAAGATATCCATACCTAAAATTCCAGAGTAACCAAGGTGAAGAAAATAGCTTAAAAAGCCATTAGAAAAAATCAAAATACTAACCAAAAAATTACCAAGCAAGAATTGGTAGATTGACAGCCCACTTCTCAACAACCTCTTCCTGCTGATCATCAGTGTGAATTACTCCTATAAGTATGGTAGCGTCTTTCTTCTTCTGCTGTTCTCTTTGTATGATGGACCCTGAAGTGACCAGGTAGCAGCCAGAGCTTAAAGTTCACTGCGATTTTCATTGTGTTCCCAGGTGGAAGTATTTGCCCTCTGGGAAGCAGCAGGATTTCTAGATCTGCAGAGACTAAGATTTCAGGGATGGGAAGCATAAATCCCCCAAGCAGATCAGGGGGGATCATGGCCATTGGGTCCATTTCTGCTCCCACCCCTTGGTTCTTTAGACCCATATATTCTACCTGCTGAAAATGCATCACCATTTAAAGATAACTGATTTAGGGTGCAGACCACATCGTGGAGGATGGTCTCCATCTTAGCAGAGTATTCTCTCCAAGATGGCACTCAGTTGCATTTTCAAGAAGCCATTCTGTTATTCTATCCAGCAGGTGGTTCCAGGTGGCATGGACTGTGAAATGAAAAGTGAATTCCCATGGTTGCACCTAGTGTTGTACTTCCTTTATTGGAAAATGGGACCTTTGGTCCAAGAATGGTTCCAGGTGGCATGGACTGTGAAATGAAAAGTGAATTCCCATGGTTGCACCTAGTGTTGCACTTTCTTCGTTGGAAAATGGGACCTTTGGTCCAAGAAAATGTTGAGCTGAATCCCATGTTGGAGACATTCACTCCACAAATTACATTTCCAAAAAAAATAATAGACCTATTATCTGTTCATTTCAATCATGCTTCCCAGGATTTGTAGCAATTTCACAGTTCTCTCAATATGTGTATCTAGTCCTTTAAGGAAGAAGTATTTTCTTTTCCTCATGGCTGTTTGGAATTTAGAATGAATTCCCATACCAGTCAGATTTTTGTTAATGCAGGACTGAAACAAATTTGTACCAGGAGTGTTTAATGCTTAATAAGCCACAAAAGCCATGTGACGTTTATTTGTAACATTTGTTAGTAGTATATTTAGCACCTCAATTTTGCAAATGGGGTAATTATTTTATATGCATTGGGGATAGGGGTAGTCATGATGTTTAAGAATATAGGAACTGTGGACTTTTTTTTAGCACAAAAATGGACAATAGCAGAAAAAATATTATTCAGAAGTCACTAAAGATTATGAGTGACTTGCCTGCTCAAACCCCTTTCACATGGTCATGTGATTTTGTAATATTTTCAAAGAAAGATATTTGAAATTTGTTGCGATTTCATTTGTCATTGTAAATAAATGCTCAAGTTTAGAATTTATGTTGTATTCATAATGTAGCATTCTTTTTCTTAAACAGAGCACCCCACCCCATTATATAAAAACTGAATCTACCCCTGAGTGAATCAGAATGAGCAGGAAGTCGCTCCCTGCTTAAATTTAAATGTTTGAGCTCCACTGAGAGACAGACAAGTTGGTGCTTACTGGCCTGAGGCTGCCTAAGCTGAGCTTTTGAATATAAAATGTTTCTAGGCTCTGGCTGACTTCGCTTACATAATGGCTTGTCCTCTGAATCAAAAGTTTGTTACTAACGACTTACATGTGGACAGTTTAGACACCATCATTGCAGTTTAAGTCTCTGAATAACTTACAAGCTAACTGTTACAGATGAGGAAACTAAGAATTAGGGAACTTCAATCACTTGCCAGATGTCACAGGGTTAGGAAATGGCAAGCCGTAGCTCAAAGTTAGCCTCTGATCCCTCACCCATGGGGCTTGCCATAGTGTCCTCTCAATGTTTGTTGTTTTCTTTCTTCTATTAAAATGGCAATAAAAATTTTCCCAAATACGTCCCCAAATTTATATATTTCTATCTCAAGGCTTTAGTACTGGAATAAATTATGCTGAGTCCATTTGAGAGGAAAAGGTTCAGGTAACACCGGGAAAAGTGGGCGTGGAGAGAAATAATGGAGGGAGGTTTAGGAGGTGAAGTTTGAGGAATTTGGTGGTGACCTAGTTGTGGGAAGTGAGGGAAAAGTCAAAGACGACTTCAGGTCACTAACTGGAACAACTAGATAAAGGATAGTGTCGTCACTGAGAAAGTAAGCACAGATGGCGAGGTAGACAGAATAATGCTCCCAATGGTCATGCCAAAGATGTTCCTGTCCTAATCGCTGAAACCTCTGAAGATTACCTTACATGGCAAGAGGGACTTTGAAGATATGTCTAACTTAAAGACCTTGAGATGGGTAAATTATCCTGGCTTATCTGGGTGGGCCCAATGTCATCAGAAAGGCCTGTGTAAGAGGGAGACAGGAAGGCCAGAGTCAGAGAAGGAGCTATGATGACAGAAGCAGAGCTCAGAGAGAGAAGGAGAGAGATCTGAAGATGATGCAGTGTTGGCCTTAAAGGTGGACTACGGGACCATGAGCCAAGGAATGCAGGCAGCCTTTGGAAGCTGAAAAGGCAAGAAAACAGATTGTCTCCTAGAGCCTCCAGAAGGAATGCAGCACCACCAACATCTTGATTTTAGGACTTCTGACTTCCAGACTGTAAGATAATAAATATGTGTTATTTCAAACCAA